GGACCCTACCTGCCCCGAGCACGCGAATCCCGAGCCCGGCTCAGCCACTCACCCGCCGCTCGCTCCGGGAAGGGGCGTCTACACCGCCAGCCACAGGCCGCCGCCGCCGCCGCCGCCGCGCCTCCTGTAGGTCTGCTGTAGGTCCCTACTCAGGGGCGGAGCCAGGGCCAGCTCCGCGCCTGCGCAGTGCGCACGGAGGCTCGGCTGCAGCGCGGGCGCCGCCCGAGGTCCCTAACTCAGGCGGTGCTGGGAGCCCTGCCTGGTTTCAGTGCAGGGCAAAGCCACGGACCCGGACCTGGTCCTGGGCTGAGAGCGCGACCCAGCGTGTCCACGTCCGCTGCGTGCAGTGTCCATGCTTAGCTTGGGCGTCCGCAAGGAGAGCGGATTCTGAGAACTGGGCCTCCGCTCTGTGCGGTGCTGGGCCCAAGCAGAGGGCGCGATTTCTCCCTGCCCTCGTAGAGCTTCAAGTCCAGCAGTGGATGAGCGAAGGCGAGAGAAAAGGAGTCAGGTTTCCAGTCTCCAAATCCTTCCTCTCTTGACAGCAGCCGTGAATGAGATGGTCTTGAAGGCCTGGGTTCGAATTCAGACTCCCTCGGCTCCTTTCCATCCTAGCTGCAGGATCTGGGGCGAGGAAGGCCCCTGAACTCTGAGTCTGTGTTTTCATTTCTAAGGATTGGGAAGATCAGACCTGAAGCCCACAGCCTCATCTATTACGTAGGTAAGGTCGTGAGGGTCAGACGAGGCAGTGATCCTGGGAGAGTCTGGAGTTAATGCGAGCTCATTTAATGCCAACGTTTTTCTGCTTTTTGGACTCCAGTGCCATTTCTGGGAACCTCCCTCCACCCCCACCCCGTCGCACGTTCACTTCTGTCCTTCCAGAAGGAAGGTGTATTTAGAATTGAGCCCTCTCAGAGGAAAGAATGAGACCATACTGCTAGAGTCCCCACCATCAGTGACGCAGATGCTGCTCTTTGCAAACTAAAATTGCTTCCTAGTCACGGCAGATTGTGTCAGGGAAGCAGCGTCACTGGGAAGCGCAGTTTCTCTAGAAATAACGGCCGAAGGTTTATTTCAAAGCCCTAGAAGGAGCAAAGCTGGCTTCCGATACTTTGCTCTGGGAGGCCAGAGGTCAGGGTGCATGGACATCGGCCAGAAGCAGGGAGGAGATGCAGGGCTGGGGCAATTCTCCAACGGGGAGAAATGGAATTCAAGAAACAATGTCAGCCACCGGCTCGGCAGCCAGATAAAAATGTCCAAGACTGAAATAGCAAGAGTTGCGCAGAGAGAATGCCAGCCTGGAGATGGATCACCACCGGCAAGTTCTTCTGCCTACACTATGCTGCAGTAGTCGACCTCATGGCTCATAAGGGAGCCTCCTGGTCCTCTGTCTGACAGGGCTCAGCGAAGCTAGGGGACCTCTTCTCCAAGACACATTCACGTACAGAGTTCAGATCAGAGAGAATAAGGCAGGGTTCAAAATCTCCCAAGGGTGAGGTGGGCATGGGCACTGAGAAGCTAAACTGGCCACTGCCTCGAAATATCTAGGGGCAAAGGGAGACAAATCAGGAAAAACTGTTAATTCTAAGTATCGGGAAATCAGAAGTTTAAATATTAGAGATTTTCCCTAAAATCCAGCCCAAATTGTTGCCTCTCCTTTAACTTCCACCCATGCATCAGTTTTGCCTTCTTGAGTCACAGCAGTGATGAGAGAGTCCCTGGGGGTTTCCTGGAAGTTTCTCTGCAGTGACAGCTGGTTGTAAAGCCCAGCTTGGCATGAAGAAGCTGGGAGCCTGCTCCCTAACCTGTCAGAACCTCATTTCTCATGTAAAACTTAGCGAATAATAGGAGCGACCTCAGAAGGCGGTTGTCAACAATAAACAAGAGCGAGCAGGTCAGGACTCGGCACAGAGTCCCTGGCAAAGCCAAAGTGCCCGTTCTCTTACATTTCTCAGGAGCCCAGATTCAGTGAGATAAAACGCCTCTCGAAGGGTTGAGAAGTAGGGTGTTTACAGCCTGGAAAAGAGCCCAGCAGAGATAGAAACCACCCCTGTAGAAACCCTTAAAGTTGAAGCGTTGGTCCCTAAAAGCCTTTTGATGCAGGCAGAGTTCCCCCGGAAATGTTATTTCTGGACATTCAGCCAGTGCCTCTTTCCTACATTTAGGGCAGCCAGCCCTTCGTGTCTTCTTCCTCACCCCTCCCCCAGCGTAGTTTGCCTAAATCTCTTTTTAGTGTTACATGGATTCACCTCTGTTACAGGTCGAATTGTGTCCCTTGGAAAGATATGTTAGAGCTCCAAATCCCCAGTGACTGCGAATACAGATTCATACTCATGCATACAGATTCACACTCATGAATGTGAAAGAGGGTCTTTGCAGACATAGTTTAGGTGAGGTCCTTAGGTGAGCCCTCATCCTATGATTAGCGTCCTTAGAGAACAGATTCAGAGAAGAGAATCTGTGTGAAGACCCAGGCAGGGGAAAGCAGCCATGCCAAGACAAAGGTCAAGACTGGAGTGATGCAGCCCTGAGCCAGGAGCACCTGCGGCTGGCAGAAGCTAGAAACGGCAAGGACGTGTCCTCCCCTATAGATTTTGGAGGGAGCATGGCTTTTAGCCACCAGAACTGTGAGACAATAAATTTCTGTGTTACAGCAACCCTAAGAAACGAGCTCCCAGATATGGCTGCCTAACATATGCGAGGAAGGAGGGACGACTTATGAAAAACAACAACAACAACAAAACAGTCATTGAGTATGAGGGCTGGAGGCTGATGACGTTCATTCATTTACTTATTCATTCAACAAACATTTGTCGAGTGCCTGTTTAGTGCAGGCACAGGCTAGGTGATGAGGATGGAATAAAGAACAAGATAAGGCTGTGCCCTCAGTGAGCATTCATTTTGTTGGGGGTCGTAGAGCTCAATTAATTAATGGAATATGTAATTAATGTTAGGAGGTGCTAGAGGCGGGGTGGGGGGGTATAAAACTGGGTCGTGTGCGGTGGCAGGGAGCACAAAGCAAGAGAGAGGATGACATGAAAGGCTCGCTGAGGGGGACTTTGAAGGTGAGCTCTAAGCCATGAGTAGGAAGCCGCGCAGGAAGATGAAGAAAGCCTTCTGTACAGAGAAGAGCATGCGCAGAGGCCGCGGTGTGAGGGGCTAGGGAAGGGCGATGCAGATCTTAGCCACTTAAAGACTGCGCGATCTTAGGGAGTCGTTTACCCGGATTCTGCGGGTGAGGACTCTGGCCCAGAGGGAGGTACTCGACTTCATTGTACCCTGGAAAAGGGGCAGGTCTCTAACAGCCGGGTCAGGAACTTTGGGCTAGTGTGGGGGGAGGGGGAGCAAAGACATGTAAATCTCAGGCACTTGAAGACCATAAACAGGAGACCCAAGGAAGAGTTGTTTTTTATTGTTGTTGTTGTTGTTTAAAACAGGTCAGAAACTTCTAGCAACTTCTCTGACTTTAGTTTGATCATTTGTGAATGAGGGATAAAGACCTCTTTGTCTAGGGCTCCCAAGCTCTTATCAGATAGCCCTGATGCTCAGATCAGTTCTCCTCCCTGTCCTGGGGCGCAGGGAGTGGAGGCTGCAGAGTGGAATCCGGATCCCATTACCCTCTGTACTGCTGTGTGACCTGGGGCAAGTTACTGCTGGTCTCTGGTCTCTGAGACGCTGTTTTCAACAGTAAAAGGGAGTAAATGCAACAACTTCTTGGAGGGTGTCGGGGAGGAGGAGGAGCGCGACTGAGGCTAGGCTCAGGTTCCAGTCGCCCTGGCCGCCTCTGTAGGCCGGGGACAGTGCGGTGGGGCCTTGCGCCCGGCCTGGAAGCCGCGCACCGGGCATGCGCCGGCCGGTAGAGCCGGGGGAGGCCGCCTGGACACTGTCCCCAGCCCCGCCCGTGAGCTCCACGTGCTGCAGTACCGCCGGCTGCCTGCGGTGTCGCTGCACGGCGGCCCTCGCGGCTCCACGAGTGTAGAGCTCTACCCAGTGTGAGCGCCCGCGAGCGGCCCTACGCTCACCTGGCCGTCACCGCAGCAACCTGGGCGCCGTTAGCCCACCGCCCGCCTTGCCTCCCGCGGACCCCGCTCCTGCCGAGAATCGTGATGGGCTGCTTTGCTTTTGTTCCACTTATGCCGCGGGAACGGGGCGGCGGGGGCGGGACTCGAGGCGCTGGCGAGATAACCACGGGGATGCCGGGCGTCGGCCTTAGGGCTCCCGTTGCGCAATCTTGACCGACGTCTCGTAATGTCTGCATTTAACCCAATGGTTAGACGAAGGATCACACAACGCCAGGCACAGAACAGGCTTGGATTCCGGGACTGAGCTAGTCCAAATCGCCAGCGTCCCTTGTCTGGACCAGGGCTAGGCAAAGCGTGGTGGGGACAGAGGCAGGTCGTCGCATATCTGGTCCCGAGGGAGTGGGTACAGGAAGGGAGAGGGCTGTTTAGAAACGTTCAGGGGGAGGGTATTCCCACTTCGGGTGCTTGCTTCTGGCTCAGGCAGCATCTTAGCCCCGCGCAGCAGGCGCGCAGGTTCAAAAGGGAGAGGGGCGGGGGAGGGCCTGGCTCTTCCGGGCCGGCGCAGCTGGGCTGCTGCGGGAGCCTCCTGCTGCCTCGCCTCCCTGCCTTCACTCACACCGCAGCATCCAGAGTGGTTCTGCCACAAAGTTAATGGGATTGAGTCACTCCCCTCCTGCCTGCCTCCGGCAGCACGTCTTACCCGCAGCCTGGTCCCTGGCACGCCGGCTCCCTCTGCACCAGGCTGCTGTCGGAAACCTGGATGGGCAGGTGGCCCACCAGCGCTTCCCATCAGTTTACGATGGTAAGCGGAGTCTTTCAGTTGTTACCCCAAATCGGTTTCTCCTTTTTTTTCCTTAGTAATAACCCTCTTCCAATTTCCCGCTGCTCAGAAAGAAAAAAAGACTAAACATTTCAAGTCTTGCTTGTAGCTAGATGTGATCATGTCACTAAATTCTAGCAATGGGAAGTAAGAACTAGAGTATGCATAACACCCAGAAGTGTCCTTGAAGGAAGGGACACGCAACTCTTTGCCCCTTTCGTCATTCTGCTGGCTTGAATAAAGGGATGAAGAGGCGATGGCTGGAGCTCGAGCAGCCATGTGGACCATGAAGTAAATATAACTTGCTGAGGATGGTGACCAAGGTA